TTAAATTGCTATTTGGTTCTATGTTTATAACATTATCAATGAATACATAAAAGAGCCTATTGAAGAAATATTTTTAACTATGTTTTTTTAGTAACTCCATATGATAAGAGTGATATATTTGTAAAGATTTAATTTATGTAGGTACCTACATGATAATATCATTTATACGTATTATTATAAATGATCAGTCCTGCACCGAATCTTGGAAATATTAAGTTAAATTAAATATGCCATTTGATAATATACTTATCATTTATTTGATACATTTCATAGCAAATATATAAAAATATGAAATTATCGTTCATTTATGTATATGTAAACGTATAGATAATTATCATTCATATTTMATTTCGTTATTTGTATACTTATTAAATGAAAAAATATTTATTGCGTAAGTAGTAAGTACCTATATTTACAGTAATAAGAATAATAGGTTACAATATTTTAATAAACATTTTGTTTCTTACATTTTCTCATCGCTATAATTTAATGTGCAACATATTGATACTATAATGATATATTTAAATAAAAATTTGATCGTTTTGAGTACACGTGTGCTCGTGTGTATAATATGATATTTACTATAAATTCTATACAGTGTATAGAAATTTAAAGTTAAACTTAAACATTTCAAATCCAATCTGATYGTAGTCAAAGTGGTGTTATTATATTAATTATTAAATAGCTGAATAGTGGCCAGTATAGGTAGTTTACACCTACTATTTATACTAATGAAACAGTATTTTATTTTATTGCTTTAAAGTTGTGTTTTTTATTATTATGTTTTTATTAAGCCCCGCAAGGTTTGCAAATAATTTAATCACATAAGTGGGTTGCGAGTAAAAGAAAAAGTCTGAAAGCCTTTTGAAGTTCTTTTTTAATATTAAATTGCAGCTATTACAGGTTGTTTGATTATAAAACCATAATTTAACATACTTTGAATACCTACTATATATTATAAGTGTATGACATATTATACTTTGTTTGTGATGTATACTGTACTAGTACATATTATTAGGTAGATACTRCGTAGGCATTACTACTCATCCGTTCAGTCACTCAGAAGTCATTACTCATGAGTTATCATGAAATTATGATCTACATATGTTTCTTTTTGAGATTATAACGTAATAGTAAATATATGGTGTGAGTATATAAGATATTGTTTTTACTTTTTAGRTGCAATAGGTTCAGTGGCTGCTATTCTCAAAATCATATACGAGTATGTGTTGCTGAAAATATTCCTAAAGGCCCACTTATCTACAAACAAATTGGTTTTAGGTATTTAATTTAAAATGTACAAAAGCTAGATAGTTAGGTGATAAATAATTATTACACAATATGATTCGTGCAATTTTGTTTTGTTTTTTTTTAATCATGCAACACTCTTACACTTTATTGGCACATTTATAGGGCGGCATAATCTTCCACATATGTATTTATATAGTATTTATGTGCGTGAAACATGTGTTGTTTTAATGGTACCTTGATAAGAGGTATCAAATATTATATATTGCTCTAGTGCTGCTCTGCCTATGGTGACAAACAAAATATATTGACAATTTTTGTTCGTGAGCTGGCAGGCGCGAATCTATAATCATATTTTGTACAAATTGAATTTAATGCAATAATTACATTTATTAAATTAACGTTTATACTACTTTAGGTTATTTACTCATAACTTTAAAAGTAACTTATTATATCAGAGCATAAAATACTCATCTATGTTCTATAATATWATATTATTGTATTGGCATTTGGCAATCTCGAGTACCTACACTACGTTCGTCGTATAACACTTACATGAAATGTATGCTCACGATTTTATTACCAAAATGACAAATTGTRTTATCTCCGCGTGTCTAGTGTGTATAATGTAAATATATTATATATGGTTATGTACCGAAGCCTTACTCGTGACACTGTGACAGTGAAGAAGTATCGTTCGCAACACTTCAGCAGCTGGTAAATACACACACACTTATCGTGACCCGGCAGAAGACCTAGCAAGTAGACCGCCTCATCGATGATATTACTGGGGCTCAAAAAGAAATACAAAAATTATATATATTTGATCAATAATAAAAAATGTCCCATCAGTCAATAGTTTGCGAGCTGTTTGAGTGGTTACCGATATCGGCGATATCATACACGCGCATCCGGTAGGTGGGCTATTCGTTTACAATAATAATCGTAAAACATAAAAGTAAGGGAAAAATCTATTATCAAGCCATAGTATCCTATATAATATCTGTACTCAGTATATTGTTTAATAATTGACGATTTTTGATTACTCGTTACTGAACGATTTGACAAATTTAAATTTATCACTTTGATGTAACAAATTGATGAAAATGTTTATTTGAAATAGACTCTCACRTATTATTATATATAAAGTTTCAAGTTTTCAAGTTTAATATATTGATTTTTGAATTTCTATTTTATTTTTTTTATTATCCTATTTTAATTATTTTGGAGAATAAAATCAAAAATGTGGGGAAATCGATCTSAAATAGACAAAAAGACATTTATAAAATTCATGTTCTGAATTATTTTTGTTTTATTAAAACCTCAATACAATATTATATTTTAATAATGCCATATTATTGTACCATCTGAAATACATTTTTAAGATTTCATGT